ACAAATAATGATAGCAAAAGAAATCTTTCTTCAGATAAAAGAATTCTCATTTCCCAAGGAAGATGCTCTCCGCTCCTGGTTGTGTATTCCTCTGGCTTCTTCTTAATGGGGTTTTTGGCATTTGCACTTATTCATGCAACAGTATTAATGATCTCTTCGGGAAAAAGGGAAACCAGGAACCGTAAATGATGGGATATTAAAATACATAGGCGAGGAAGAGGGAAGAAAATAAAAAGGGAGAGAGAGAGAGGACTGGGAGATGGAGAGGGAGATGGGGAGAAGGGGAACGGGGAAAGGGAGGAAAGGAGGAAGGGAGAAGGAAAGAGAATGCGAATGAGAGGGAGAATGTTAGGGAATGCAGAATTGAGAGAAAGAGAGAGAGAGAGAGAGAGAGAGAGAGAGAGAGAGAGAGGGGGGGGGTAAAAAGGATGATGATGGGGAGGGGATGAAATGAGAAAGGGAAAGTGGGAAGGAGAGAAATGGGAGAAAAGGAGTGAGGGAAATGGAAGAGTGGGTAAAGATAAGGAAGAGGGAGATATAGAGTGAGAGGTAAGAAAGAGATTGAAAGACAAAGAGAGAGAAAGAAAGAGAGAGAGAGAGAGAGAGAGAGAGAGAGAGAGAGAGAGAGAGAGAGAGAGAGAGAGAGAGAGAGAGAGAGAGAGAGAGAGAGAGACGTCTTAAAGATATAGAAAGGGAGAGGAATAAGGAGAGAAAAGAGGGGGAAGGAGAAGAGAATGTGACAACATACTGAACACTATGATGTGATATCAATGATAATAATAATAATATTATTAATGATAATGATGATGTTGATGATGATAATAATAATAATAATCACAATAATGATAATAAAAACTAAACAAAAAGAATAAATCTCGAATTCTAAAACATCTTCAACTCCCGACTCAACTTCCTCCTCCCTCTGTGCCTCCAACACGACCCTCTCGACCTCTCTCCCCCTCACCGCCCCCCCCCCAGCCCTCAATCTCCCCTCCCTCCTTCTTCTAGCCACCATCCTCCACGCCTCCGGCCTCCACCCCCCCTACTGCAACCCCCCTCCCCACGTCCCCTAAAACCCCTCCCCCCCTCCATTGCCCCGAAGCCAGAGTCCAAAGGCAGCTGGTAATGGCGCCCAGGTTAGGACAGGGACAGGGCTCCCGCGCGCGATGGCGGCTCGCTGGTATAACGTGTGGGAGGAATTTTGCGCCAAACTTATCCCTAGCTTGACAAGAAGGGGAAAGGGGGGTGGGGGGGGGAGAAGGAAGAGGGAGGGAGAAAGATGAAGGGAAGCAAGGAAGGTAGGAGAGAGAAGGAGGATGGAAGGAGACGGAGGGAGACAGAGACAGAGAAGGTATGAAGAGAGAGAGAGAGAGAGAAAGAGAGAGAGAGAGAGAGAGAGAGAGAGAGAGAGAGAGAGAGAGAGAGAGAGAGAGAGAGAGAGAGAGAGAGAGAGAATGACGAACGGAGACAGATAAAGAGCAAGAGAGAGAGAAAGAAAGCCAGAGAAATATTATGAGCCCCGTTCTAAATCGCCGCTGGACGGAGGCTGCGCCCGGCCATTTGAAATGTGTCGACAACTGAACGTGTGAAAGTATAAACCTTGCAACGCGCTGCAAATGTGGCTATCTTTCAGTGCAATGTCTTTATGATATTTCCGGACGCGAGATGTGTTATATATGTAATGCGGCGAATGGAGCCGGGGGAGGTCCGCGCCGCGCCTCTCGCATTTGTTTGTACGGTGCAAATAGAGGAATACATATGTGTATATTTAGATATATGTATATATATACATAGAAATATATACATACATATATAGATATGTGTATATATATATGTATATATATGTATATATGTGTGTGCATGTATACATATACATATAAATAAATATATATATATATATATATATATATATATATATATATATATATATATATATATATACATATATATATATATATATATATATATATATATATATATATATATATATATATATATATATATACATACACACACACACACACACACACACACACACACACACACACACACACACACACACACACACACAACACACACACACACACACACATATATATATATATATATATATATATATATATATATATATATATATATATATATATATTATACACAAACACACACACACACACACACACAAACATACTCACACACACACACACACACACACACACACACACACACACACACACATATATATATATATGTATATATATATATATATATATATATATATATATATATATATATATATATATATACATATATATATATATATATATATATATATATATATATATATATATATATATATATATACTATATATATAATATATACATATATATGTTATCTATATATATGATGTATGTATAAATAAGTCTATCTATCTATCTTTTTGTCTATCTGTCTATCTATCTATCTATTTACACACACGCACACATATATACATACATATATATATATATATATATATATATATATATATATATATATATATATATATATATATATATATATTCAACAAAATATGCAATAAGCTAAGAAACAAATACAATTTCCTTCACACCTTATCCTCTTATCGTGACCATATATCTAAAGATTATTTCCTCGAGGATCAAAAAATACTATTTAACAACTTCATTCCCTCTAATCCTACTAAACAACATCATTTTCTCTCGCTCTTGTTTACATTAATGTTCTTATTCGTGGTATTTTCTTTTTCTTTTCTTTTTTTTCTCTTCCTCTTCTTCGTCTTCTTATTATTATTGTTATTGTTATTAAAGATATTATTATTCTTTCTTTTTTCTTCATTCTTTCTTTTCCTTTTCTTCGTCTTCTTCTTGTTATGATCATTGTTATTATTGTCATTATTATCATTCTTCTTCTTATTATTATTATTACTATTATTATCATTATTATTATTATTATTATTATTATTATTATTATTATTATTATTATCATTATTATTATTATTACTATTATCATTATTATTATTATCATTATTATCACTATTATTATTATCACTATTATTATTACTATTCTTATCACTGATACTACTATTATATTATCAACATAATTGTTATCATTATCATTTTTATTGTTGTTATTACTATATCATTATAACTATTATTGTCATTATAATAATAATTATTATTCTCCTCCTCCTCCTTCTCATCATCATCATTATTATCATTATTATAATTATCATCACCTTCATCGTTATAATGATCATAATTATCATTATTATTATTATCATCATCATTACAATTATTATTATTATCATTATTATTATTGATACTATTATTATTATTTTCATTAATATTAGTATTACTGTAATCATCATCACCGGATTGGTCAGTCCCGCCCAGCCGTGGTCCTCTGCACCAAACTCCAGCGATCCCGGTCATATTGCTTCCACCATTGCTACGCCACACAGCTCTTTAATACCGTCAGTGTACCTAGGTCGCCCTCTTCCTCTTGGGCCAAACACCATGCCAGTCAGCAGAATCTTTTCGAGGCTGTTGCTGCGGGGAATATGGCCACTGAATGTAAGTTTTCTGCCATTAAGAATGTCAATCAGTCTCCGTTCGTAATTCATCATTTGAAGGACTTCCTCGTTTGTCTTCTTATCCGTCCAGCTGGTGCGGAGAAGACGTCTGTTGCACCACAATTCGAAACTGTTGATTCGGTCTTTGTCTGATTTTTTGAAAGTCCAACATTCCGATTCATATCCAGCAATGGAGGAAACGAGAGAGTTCAGTAATCTCTTTTTTATGTTAAGGGAGATGTTCTTGTCCTTCCAGATGTATGTTAGTGCCACTGTAGCATTTCTGGCAATTGCTAATCTTCTTTTATTTTCAGCGCTATCATCATAATTATCTGTGAAGACCCACACCCAAGTATGTAAATTTTTTAACGTTCTCAATAGACTCGTTGTTGATCTTGATGTTTGTTTCGTCGTGTTTAGTAATCTTTCTTCTAATTTTTATTACTTTTGTTTTCTGATTTTTCACTTTCTAGTCTAACTCTCTCAACTAGATCCTGTATTCTTCCATGCTGCCTGCTATAAGGACTACGTCGTCAGCAAATCTCAATTTGATAATTTGGTGCCCATTGACTGTGACTGATCCTTTAAAACCAGAGAGTGCCTTTCTCATAATTGCTTCAATGTAGATGGTGAACAGGTGTGGCGATGTCTGACGCCTTGGTCGATTCTAAACCATTCGGTCAGTCCGTAGGCGGTTCTCACTGCTGCTTTTTGTTTGTCGTACATCGCTTTCAACAACAGGATGATATGCTCAGGAAAGCCCATGTCGTGCATGTTTTTTCCAAAGAGTGTCAAAGGCTTTGGTGTAGTCATTGAAACAGAGGAATAGATCTTTCCCATGTTCACGGTTCTTCTCGATGAACATTTTCAGATTGATTATTTGATTTCTTGTACTTCTTCCAGCTCTGAAACCTGCCTGTTCCTCAGCAATTTCATCTTTTAGTTTGTTTTGTATTCTTTTAGTCATTACTTTCAGCAGAATTTTGCTACTGTAACTGATGAATGCGATGGTTCTGTTTTGTAATGTGTCTCCCTTTTTTGGAATTGGGACGAAGACGGAATTCATCTAACCCGTTGGTAAATTCCTTTCATTCCTGATTTTGCAGCACAGTTTATGATAGAAAGCTGCGATATTTGGACCTCCATTCTTGATTAATTCGGCCGTGACTTCGTCTGCTCCTGGGCTTTTGCCATTTTTCAGATCTATGATGGCTTCGTTTATTTCTCCTAGTAGAGGTGGTGGTTCGGATTCGGAGTTTGTACACTCAAGGTAGATTGGGGTTGAATTGCCATTCTTCTTGAATAATATGGAACAGTACTCTTCCCATCTTTCCCGAACTTTGTCTCCATCGCATAGAATTGTTCCGTTTTCTGATTTTATGGTGTCAGCAGTTGGTTTGGATGATTTTGTTAAATTTTAACTCCTTGGTACAGTTCTTTGGTGGAGTTGGTAACGGCATTATCTTCGATTTTCTGACATTGTTGTTCAATGAATTTCTCTTTGTCTGCTTTCCACAGTTTATCAGGGGATTTCTCTTCGTCACATAGCTGTAGGACCCCAAAGTTGTTTGCTATTGAGATTTCATATTCTGCGTTTAAGGTTTTAGAGTCAAGTCTCACCGGGTGGGAAGGTTGATCCATTTTTTTTAGATTAAATTTGACATCTGTGGTTAGAAGTTGGTGGTCACTGTTGCAGTCTGCACCTGGCCTTGTTCTTACATTTTTCATGCTGCTTCTCGATTTTTCACTAAATAAGATGTGATCAATCTGGTTACGGGTTTTCTTGTCGGGTGAGGTTCAGGTGTATAAATGTCTAGGATGGTGTTTAAATATTGTGTTGGTGATTACCAGGTTATTTGTGCCACAGAAATCGATAAGATCTTCTCGCCTTTCATTCTGTTGTCCAGGTCTGAATTTTCCACATGTTGACCTTGGCGTATCTTGTTTACCCACTTTGACGTTAAAGTCTCCAATTACTAGTTTGACGTCTCTATTTGGGGTGATGTCAATAGTTTCCTGAAGAGTGTTATAAAAGTTTCCCATATCTTCATCACTATCTACGGTAGTTGGCGCATAGCATTGGATGATAGAGACATTGTGTGGTTTAGCTTGAATTCTGACTTTCATAATTCTGTCATTTATAAGGCTGTAGCCAATAAGAGCTTTCTTAGTTTCTTTGGAGAGAATGACTGCTACTCCGTGGTTGTATCCCATTTCATTTCCAGAGAAAAGGACAACGTGATTTGTGGCAGTTTTGAAACTTCTTTGTTTGTACCAATTTGTCTCACAGAGTTCAAGGATTTGGAGTCCATATCTGTCCATTTCATTGCAGATAGTGTTGTTTTTTTCCCATTTCTTTTAGTTTTCTAACGTTCCATGTTCCCAGTTTAATTATGTTTCTTAGCTAAATATGTTTCCTTCCAGTCGCATGATTTCTATGTGGTATGGATTTTTAGTATCATTGTTCATCCATGCAGAGAGTAGACGGGGAGAGCATTGTCCACCAAAGTGGAACAACGCAGAAGCTGAGTGGGATTCCCCAGGCCCCTTCTCAGCTCGCAGTCTCCACTAACAAGGAGAGGATATCCCTGCCAGAAAAATTCAGTAGCACTGAAGTTCTCAAAAGACATTCATTGCCCTGCTCCTAGCAACTCCACCGTAACCCTGGCACGGAGGAGCTACTGGGGTGGTCAAGGGAGCCCCGGGGATGCGGTTTATAGTCTTGCCCAGGAAAAGTATCACTATCATCATTATTCATAATAGTATTATCATTATTATCATTATTATTATTAGCATTATTATCATAAGCATTATTAAGTTACTATTACTGTTACTACTACGCTTAACATTATCATTATCACCGTCCTCATCATAATTATTATTATTATTACTATCATTACTACTACTACTACTACTACTGCTACTGCTGTTGCTGCTGCTACTATTGTTATTACTCTCATGATTGTCATAATTATTGTCATTATCCTCATTTTCGCAGTTATTATATGTATTATCACCGTTATTATCAGTATTTCGTTATTACTATTATCAGTACTATCGTCACTTATTTTTTTATTATTCTTATCAAAATGATTATAACCGTCATCATCATCATCATTATTTCTCATCATCCTTATCATAATTCTTTTTTTTTCTCTTTTCCCTTTAATTCTTCTTCCTCTTCTATTCCCTCTTTCTCCCCCTCTTCTTCCTTTTCAATCTTCTTAACAGTCCAGACATAAATCTCATTATCATTTTCATAATTCCTTTTTTCTTTTTTTTTCTTTCCCTCTTCTATTCCATCTCCCTCTTCCTCTTCCTCTTCCTCCTCCTCCTCTTCTTCCTCTTCAATCTTCCTAACAACCCACACCTAGAAGTCATCATCATTATCTCACTTTTGCTCTTTTCCTTTTTTCTCTCTCCATCTCCTTTCTCTTCCTCTTCTACCCTCTCTTCCTCTTCCTCCTCCTCTTCTTCCTCTTCAATCTTCCTAACAATCCACACCTAAAAGTCATCATCATTATCTCACTTTTGCTCTTTTCCTCTTTTCCTTTTTTCTCTCTCCCTCTTCTTTCTCTACCTCTTCTATCCCCTCTTCCTCCTCCTCCTCTTCCTCTTCAATCTTCCTAACAATCCACACCTAGAAGTCATCATCATTATCTCACTTTTGCTCTTTTCTCTCTCCCTCTTCTTTCTCTTCCTCTTCTATCCCCTCTTCCTCCTCCTCCTCTTCCTCTTCAATCTTCCTAACAATCCACACCTAGAAATCATCATCATTATCTCCATTTTGCTCTTTTCCTTTTTCCCCTCTCCCTCTTCTCTCTCCTCTTCCTCCTCCTCCTCCTCTTCCTCTTCAATCTTCTTAACAATCCACACCTAAGAGTCATCATCATTATCTCCCTTTTGCTCTTTTCCCTCTCCCTCTTCCTTTTTTCTCTCTCCCTCTTCTTTCTCTTCCTCTTCTATCCCCTCTTCCTCCTCCTCCTCCTCTTCCTCCCCAATCTTCCTAACAACCCACACATAAATCTCATTATCATTATCTCCCTTTTGCTCTTTTCCTTTTTTCCCTCTCCCTCTTCTCTCTCTTCCTCTTCTATCCCCTCTTCCTCCTCCTCCTCTTCTTCCTCTTCAATCTTCCTAACAGTCCACACCTAAAAGTGTAAAGTGTACACCCAGACGAAGGGAAAAAGGGCCAATGTCGGAGAACCAGGAAGAAAATATCAACAACTGGTAAGAAATTCAATCTAAGACGCAGCGCCATCTGTTACGTGCAAAAGATACCAGAGAAATATTTGTTTTATGTGTGTTTCTGTTCATTTTCTTTCTTTCTTTTTTCTTTTTTCTTTTTTTTCTTTTTTTTTTCTCCTGGTGTTTTGGATGATAGGGTCGGATTGAATGAGGATCAGTTGCGGAAATGATAATACTAATAATAGCAGTATTGCTAATAAAGATGATAATAAGGAAGGTAATGATAATGATATTGATGATTTTAATAATGATAATAATAATAGCAATTATATTGATGATGATGATGATGATAATGATGATGATGATAATAACAATATAAATAATGATAACGATAATAATAACAATAATGATAATAACAAACCAACAACAACAATAATAATGATGATGATAATAACAATAATAATAGTAATAATAATGATAATAATAATAATAATAATAATAATAATAATAATAATAATAATAATAATAACAATAACAACAACAACAACAATAATAATAATAACAATAATAATAATGACAATAATAACAAAAAATAATATAATGATAATTGAAACAATATTGATAATGATAAAAGTGATCACTAGTACTATTACCACTACTACTACTAATAATAAAAATAATAATCATCACAATAATGATGATAATAATAGTAATGATAATAATAATAATAATACTTAGGATAATAATGATAATAATATTAATAATAATACTAATAAAAGAATAATAAAACTATTAAAAATAATAATAATAACAACAACAACAACAATAATAAAAACATGTATGTAAAGAGAACGCTAAGTAATATTACTCATACATAAAAAACAATCGCCTCCCTCCGTCCCTGGCTCTAATTTGACAACCTGCCCCTATGCCAACACGCAGGAGGGTTTCACTAAAGCCTTCCCCCACCCCCCCTCCACCACCATACGGAACCTCCCGTTGGAAACCCTGTTATTGGCAGCGCAATCTTTCGCATTCCTGGGTGTGGCATCCAATTTGGCACAACCGCTACTTTCACGTCCGCGGTTTCCGTGACAATGCGTCGTGGAGACTTGGTTTTGGGGAATCGTAATGTGTGTGTGTGTTTGTTCAGGGTGTGTGTGTGTGTGTGGAGGGGGAGGGGGGAGGGGGTGAGCGAGAATACATGGGAGAGTGAATCGTGTGTGTGTGTGTGTATGTGTGTGTGTAGAGAGGGAGGGGGAAGGGGGGTGAGCGAGACTACATGGGAGTGCAAATTGTGTGTGTGTGTGTGTGTGTGTGTGTGTGTGTGTGTGTGTGTGTGTGCCTGAGTGCTACTATGCGTACATAATCGGGCACGTCTCTGTGCCTGTTCAAGTGTACGGATAAGCACATGTCTGTACCACCTCCCCGCTCTTTCTGGGCATCATCCATCATTCGTCGAAACAAATTTACATATATGAATAAATTCCCTAGATATATGAATATCGCACAGCATATGAATTATGATAACAAAAATACCACTTCCTTTTCAATACACAATGAAAAGAAGAAGAAGAAGAAGAAGAAGAAGAAGAAAACGAGAAGCAAAAAAGGAAAGAAGAAGAAAGCGCATATAAAGAATAATTACAAGAAACGAGAAGGAACGGCCGGGCTTCGAGCTCTAATAAACCTCGGTAATGGTCACTTTAACCGAAGCCTGAAGCGAACACAGACCCCGAATTCTTAGAGACTGAAGTTTTTCGATTACTCCGGAACCGTTTAGTGTAAATACAATTCACCAACAGAACAAACACCAAATCCCCCTTTCCTCCCCCCTCCCCCCCCCAAAAAAAAAAGACGAAATAAAACGAAAAGATATGAAGAACAGTTCTCCATCAGTCTTTCCTGATAAATTCAACGCGAATGTTCATTAAACTAATGGAGGAAAACCATAAATGTCTGTGACTTTTACTTCTTGGCTGAAGCGGAATTCCCAACGAAGAACTGGAATTTGTACTTAATGCTAATCATTAATATGCAAGTGTTCCACTGCTAATAGGCATATAATTTTCCATTTTGGTAATAATGATAAATATTGGAAAAAAATATAAATGCGAATGAGCAATAACTCAAAATATTATTCAATTTTCAATTAGCCATAAATAAAGCTGAAATATACTTACACAACATCATTCCTCGTTGCAGAATTTCAGACATTACTTGTCTACAAAAAAAAAAAAAAAAAAAAAAAAACACTAAATATCTAAAAAAAAAGAAAAAAAAAGTCACAAATGCATTCTATCACCAAGCCAGTAAAAGTAAGACAATATGAAATCACATAAGCTAGCTATTGTATTAAATTTGTCGAAAACAAGAAAACAAACACAAGAAATAAAACAAAGAAAGAACTTACCTGCAGGCCAGCACGAGAGAGCCAGGAGGAGGGGGAGGGTGGGGAGAGGGGGAGGGAGGGAGGGGAAGGGGCGCATGGTGTCGGGGAGGAAGAAGGAAAGAAGGAAAGGAGGAGGAGGAGGATAAAGAGATGGAGGGACAAGAGGGGGGAAATGTAGGGGGAAGGAAGTGAGAGAATGAGAAAGAAAATGAAAATGAAGATGAGAAGGAAATAGATTGAAAAGGAGGTGGAAGAGGAAGTGGATAACGATGACGGTAACTAGAGAAGTAGGAGGAGGAGGAAACGAAGATGGGAATTAGGAAGGAGGATATAATGAACAGGAAGGGAAGGTGAGACTTTGGAGAAAATAGAGCGAAAGAGGGTGTTAGGGAAAGAAAATAAAGAGGCAGAGAGGAAAGAGGGATTTATGAGAAAGAAAATAAAGTATAAGAAGGAGAAACCAGTTTATGAAGAGGCGAAGGGAGGAGTCAGATGGAAGAACGAGTTTATGAGGAAGTAAATAATAGTATGCAAATAGGAGAAAGTGTTTATGAGGAAGTGAATATGAGCGAGATATCAGGAAGTCAGAAAGAAAATGAAAATATCAGAAGGAACTGTATACTCAAGATGCAAAGGCGCGAATCAGGAATAACAATGGGTAAATGAAGAGGAAAATGAACGAAAGATGAGGAGGAAAGATCACAAAGAAATGAAAAAGAGGGACGTCAGAAAGAGGGAAAGG